AGTATCTCGGCAAAAGAATGCTGTACCTCATGCAAGACATCAGTTAGAAAGTAAAGGTATAAGCATAAAGATCAACCGAAATAAGGATCAAAGCCAAAGAGGCTGGAAAAACCAAAATCTTATTATGCTTCAACCGAGATATAAATCTAGGTTGAAGCGGTTGGCTAGTATGGCCAGTCTAATTACAAAATTAAAACCGGGATGAATTATCTCTGCAAAAGAATGCACTACTTCATTCAAATTACAGTAAAAAACAACAAGTAGAGCAGCAAACCGAGATAACAGTTAGAGAAATAGAAGATTTTTTCATTAGCAAAGTTTAAAGCAAATATAAAGGAGGGGCCCCAACCCGGTTACAAACTTTTTTTCCAACAAAAGGAAGAAAAATACAAAAGTCAGTCAAACAGGTCATCAAGATCGGCATCAATATTTACACGGAGCCTGGTTTCATTTGGTAGCGCGGTCTCAGTTTGATGAACGATTTCAGTAGGCAGCTCTCTGGTCAGGTCTTCCACCAATGGCTCCAACCGAACTAATTGTTCGACAGGGTCATTGACAACCAAAGTATCCTTTGGCGCAGCTTCTTCTCCATTATCTGAGTCCTCAAGAAATTGTTGCTGAAGAGCAGCAGCATATTCCGTCATAGAGCCCGAAATGAAGTATGCTGGAGTGTTGAAGATCTCAGTCCCTGGATCGTGACTGAGCTGCTCTACAGCCGCCCTCCAACCGCACTTGAAGAAGAGATCCTTGGCAGCTTCACATTGGGGGTGTTTGTTTCAGCTTTTCAGAGCCAACTTATGGCTTTTAGCTTTGAAAAAGTTATTTTGGACTGTTTGGTTAAACTTATTTCAAACAGTTTCTGATTCTAACAGCTTATTTTAACTCAAAAAAGATGATTCTGAGAAGTTGTTCACCCCTTGTTTCTGATTATCAGCTTCTGCTGTGGACATGTTAATTTATGGTTATACTCTTGAATTTTTTTATTTTTTATTTTTTTTTTAAATAGAAAAAGACTCAAATAGACTATAAATTATTATTATTTTTTATGAGAAATGTAGACAAACAAAAAATAAAAATTAATTGAAAAAGCTATTTCACAGCTTATTTAACAAACACTACTCAGTAACTTAAATCTATAATCCAACAGCTACACCAAACAGATTAACAACTTCTGATTAAAGTCATAATCTATAATCTGTTAAGCTATAATCTATAAGCTGTTTTAACAGCTATACCAAACGGGGCCATTGTTTAATGTAAGTAGCCTCCCCCTCCTTGAAACCCCGGAGCTCGGCATCATCAGCATCTTTCTTCAGTTGCTCTATCTCGGCATTTTTCTTGCCCTCAAGTTTAGCAAGTTCGCGCAAATATTTGTCTTTGATCACGGCTGCAGCTTTTTGTTTTTCTGCTTCAACCGAGCTAACAAGACCGGCCAGACGACCGTTCTCGGATTTTAGCTCAGCTAGCTGCTTCCTAGCCTCTTCTAGCTCGGCAGCTTTTTCAGTTACTTCGGCCATGGCTTGCCTTGCTGTTTTTCGGAGCTCCAACATACACTTGTGGGCAATTTGACTCTTTTGCATGGCCTGAAGAAGAATGCAAAGAAACTAATGACAAAACCGAGCAAAAAATTGGAAAAATTAGAGAGACCAGAGGGGCTTCTTACCAGGATCATTGATTTCGTTGCAGACCGGATGGCCTTGATCTCGGTCAAATTATTGTGATGCTCCATATCAGGGGGCAGACATACACTCTTAGCCAGATTGAAGGCTAGCATATGGTCTTTGTCAGCCACTACTGAGTCAGTATCACGGATAGCACGGTTTTGGAAAGACATTTTTGGAGCCCACTTGGAGGAGCTAGCCCTGTCAAAACGCTCCAGCTGAGGGCTCGGTGGAGGGCTTGGTGGAAGAGTAGTTTCATCTTCATCAACAAGGCGTTGCTCGGTTTGGGTAGTTCGGGCACGCTTGCTGGGGCGAGATGAGGAGGGTTGTTGAGATGGAAGAGCCACCACGGTCTCTTGAGTCTGGGTGGTTGGTGGTACTTCAGCTGGATGTGTTTCGGTTAGGAGGGCCCTCACTCTGTTCCTCTTCGCCATTTCTTCTTCAGCAGTAGTACGGACTAGGATGATTTGTGGCAAGGTCGGGTCCGGTTCAGGAGAGGCCTCTAGCAAAAAATCTGTTACTCTGGCTTTTCATCGGCTGCTATATCTATACGTCGACTCAAAATTCAGTAACTTGGCCCAACTTCTTTCAGGGTATCGTAGTGCGGCGCGAAGTGTGTTTAGATTGGGTTAATTGTATAGTGATTTAAGGTGGGCCGAATCTGCATAAAGAAGACATCTGTCAGTTCGGTTAAGGAATAGAATACCGAAATAAAATAGAAGCATGCAAAGAAATCGAAGTAACTATACCGGGAGTTCCTTTATCCCAGTTTATACTGCGCCCTGGGATCTGGGCTTGGTGGTCTTCGAAATTGCCAGATACCCAGAAAAAATCGTCATCATTTAAGTCTTTGTCCGGTGTGTTCTTTATTATTTTCTCACGCCAGCATCGTATTCTTAAATAATAAACCCACCCGTCTTCTTTTGAGCCTATGGAGTACTGATGAAAGAGTTCGGCTAGGCCAAGGTTAATACCAGCTCGGCGGTTTAGCTCGGCTATGCCATTTATTATGCGGTATGAATTTTTGGAAAGCTGTGTGGGACATATCCTAGTTTGCTTGAGGAATTCACAAAGTAAAGGCTGTACAGGGAATCTTAGTCCAGTTTCTATAATGGACAAAAGTGTAAAGGGAACAAAACCAGGGTTTCCCCATGGTATGGTATCTAGATCGGCTAAAGTTAGGTGAACATCATCAGGGATGTTATAATCCTTTCGGAATTCGGCCAAACCCCCAGGTGTGTCTACTAAGAACCTATATTTACCCATTCTCTTTTAAGTTACAAATAAATTAAGCTTGTGTTAGCTCGGTCGGAGAAAGGTGCTGAGTAGTTCGGTTAAGCGCTCAAAGGAGTGCCTGGGCAACCTAAAGTCTGCAAAGTGAAAAAAAGAGGTGTTAAGCACAGCTCGTGGGACCGTGCTAAAAGAACAAAAAGGGGCAAGATAGATATAGTCCTAGCTCAGTTTGAAGAAAGAATTTGGTATCTTGGTTTGTGCAAGGGGTTTGTTATTTCGTTTTGTGCAAAGGTTAGTGTTAGCCCAATTGAACCTCTAGGGGCAGCGCTCTTAGTTCGGTTTGAATTACGAAGGCTGGGTTAGCCCCAAGTTATAGCTCGGCCGTGGTTAAGACTAACAGACGCGCTATTGCGCAGACTTAGTGCGGATTGCTAGCTCAGCTGAGTTAAAACAAAATGTGGTTTGACTTGTTAAAACTAATGGTATAACGTGAAGTGTTAGTTCGGTTGAATGGTCGGGCTAGAATGACATCAACTACAAACGACTTTTTAGTTCGGTTATACTATGATTTTGGATCAAAATCAGTGTTTTTCAGTTTATTCGTGAAAAGCGAGAGGTTCTATTACACGAAAGAAAGGTATGTGTTTTGAAAAAACACACAAAATACATGTATTGTAAAAGCAAATGCGAAAAGAACAAAAACAAGGCAGATTTGAGTAAACTTACTAGGTTAAAGAGGAAGAAATCGGAGATGGAAGCAACGACAATGAAGAACACGAACTCAGCAAGTTCAGGGTTAAAGAAGCTCAGGAACGAAAGAGTGAGAAGAGGAAATGAATAGTGTGGTAAGTGATTCAAAAAAACAAAGAATTTTGTTTTGATGCAAGGACCAGATGCGGGAACTGTTCAAAATACACGAAGAACGAAGACGGCGTGACAGTTGGATTGGGCCAATCAGAGGGGGCCACGTGTCCTTGGAATGAGAAACGATTCAATTGCTGTGATTGAAGAGACGTTTTGATCGGACAGGTAGAGCCGGCGTGAATTTAGTTCGGCTGGAGAGGCTAAGAGAGTCTTTTCGCTCGGTTGGAAAGGCTAAAGAGTTTTTTAGCTCGGCTGGTAGACAAGGTAATCCCTATCATGCTACGCAGATAGAATTAAGGGGCAGTTGAGAGGGTAATTTATATGAAAATTGGGCCGAGCTGGGTAATGGGCCGTTATGGGCCACAGTGCGAAGGGCTGAGTAAAAAGGCCATGAAGTTACTTCGGCCCAAAAGAGGTGTAAATTACTCCGGTCTGCGAGAGATCTGAAGTTACTTCGGTCTCAAAGAGCTTACGGTAAGTTCGGTCGTCACTCACAAAGTTATCCCGGTTTGGATCGGAGTATTTGGTTATTCCGGTCTAGACATACGGTGGTTAGCATTAAGAAAAGCCAAGGTAAGAGCAGTGAATGGAAGAGCCGAGCTAATGTTATCTCGGTCTAGTCTGCGGCTTAGCATAGCCATGCTTACCTCGGTCATGTTGAAGTCTGACCATGGTAGAACCATCTCGCTTGGTTTATGCAGTGAGGGGTGTTGAAGGATAAACATTATTTTTCAGGAGTATGAATCCTAAGAGGACTCTACATGGAGGAGTAAAAGTCCTACTAGGATTGTGCCATGCGGAACCTATAAAAGCTTACAACATCACCTATGGAGAGATAATACAACTTTGATTCCTGAATACACAGAGTTTTTGTCTACTTGTCTATTTTGCTGACTTAGGCATTGGAGAGGTTTCCGGCACACACCCGCCGGCTAGCTCACGTTTGTGTTTTCAGGGAGTAAAACGACGACGTTTAGAGGAGCGCAGACTTGATCAACGAGATTATACGAGAATGTTTATTTCTTTTCCGTACAAGTAAAATGTTGGAAATGTTGTTACCAAAATGAGGCTAGAACTCTTCGCATTTAGAGTTTGTTTAAGGTGTGATATATAGGCACACATTTTTATTTTTTTTATATTATATCATCTTTTTAATTTTTTACATATATTTTTATAAAAAAATCAAAAAAAAAATAAAACTTAAACAATCCCTCAAAAAGGGGTGTTTTCGTATTTGGGAAGCTCCGGTGATTGAAAGTGAAAACCGCTATAAATGGTCGCCGCCCATACACAATTCAGCTTAGCTAATCCCCTTCTTGCGTCTCCTGCTCTCACTCCTGTTCCAGTCTCTCTCTCTCTCTCTCTCTACAAGTATCTTCATCATCATCGATATCTTCGTGGTTATGAATACAAACACTTTCATATAATTCACACACATCGATTGTCTACAATACCTTAGGGTTTCGTTCGATCGATCGAGCAACCATGTCTCTGAGACCGAGTGCTAGAACCGAAGTTCGTCGGAGCAAGTACAAGGTGGCCGTCGATGCAGAGGAAGGTCGGCGAAGGAGAGAAGACAACATGGTTGAGATCCGAAAGAACAAAAGAGAAGAGAGTTTGCTTAAGAAGCGTCGTGAGGGCCTTCAAGCTCACCAATTCCCATCTACCATCAACGTCTCTCAAATCGACAAGAAGGTCTCTCTTCCTTGCTTTCTATTTTAGTTGATTACTGATTTCAAGTCCTGTGTTGTTGTTGTGTTGCTGGGTTGCAATTAACGATGGGGATTTAGTTTTTTGAGAATGAATTCAACTCAACTCAACAAAGTATTTTCCCAATTTTGCTGATAATGAACTGTCCAACGTATTAAATTAGCGTTGATTTCAGTTTTTTATGCCCATTTTGTTTTTTCAATTTTATCATTAAACTATAGATTGGGGGTGTGTAGTGCAGATTAAATAAACTCCAAATGGCTTATTTTATTTTGGGTGTCTGTGCTAGACCGGTTGATCTTTTTAGTCAGAAATTAGCTTGAATGAGCTGAAAAAGAAGAGGTGATTTTCTCTATTTGGACACCACCACATCCCTCAGTATACAAAATCTCCCCATTTTTAGGTTATCTCAGCTGCTTATAGATTTATTTTTGAAATGTGGGAATTTGTACAAGATTGTTTGGTATACTTATGCTTAAGAGTTTATTAGGCAAAAATAGTTTAAATAAGTTAAAAAGTTGACTATATGGAAGATGGGGAGGGGTACTTTTGATTTTGCATTTTGATTGTCAACTTTTTGCTTACAATAAGTTGTACCAAACAGACCCATAATCAAACACTCAATTTCTTGGTAGCTTGTGATATAATTATCGATTCTCATGGTGGGCTGTATTATCATATATTGGACTGCAGTTAGAAAGCCTTCCTGGCATGATTGCTGGGGTTTGGTCTGAAGATAGCAGCTTACAGCTTGAAGCAACCACCCAATTTCGAAAACTGCTTTCGATAGGTTTTTATTTTTGTTTCACTTATTTTATTTTGTGCATAATTAGTTAAATATTTTTTCTCATTGTGATTCTTTCAACAGAGCGCAATCCTCCTATCGAGGAGGTGATACAATCTGGTGTTGTTCCTCGCTTTGTTGAGTTTCTTGCCAGGGATGACTATCCACAACTTCAGGTTTGAACTTGTTCTTTTTAGTTAATTGTTTTTGTGTTGATTTTCTCAATGTTGAATGGTCACCTGTTTACATTGTTAATTGTTTTAATTCTGTATAGTTTGAGGCGGCTTGGGCTCTCACAAACATTGCATCTGGAACATCTGAGAACACAAAGGTTGTAATCGATCATGGTGCTGTTCCAATTTTTGTGAGACTTCTTGGTTCTCCAAGCGATGATGTTCGTGAACAGGTATATTACAGAAGTCCACAACCCATAAGTGCTTCATGCTTTATTTTCGACTTGATCTATTTTCTACCTCCTAAGAAGCCTTTTAGAACCTTGTACTTTTATACAGTGAGTTGCCTGTCATTTGGTTTAGTTGATAATGAAGAATTCTTAGCTGTATTAAGTAAGCCTGTTATTTGAATTGTATAGGCTGTTTGGGCATTGGGAAATATTGCCGGTGACTCACCCAAATGTCGTGATCTTGTTCTCAACCATGGAGCCTTGATGCCGTTACTGGCACAATTCAATGAGCATGCAAAACTTTCTATGTTGAGAAATGCAACATGGACATTGTCAAACTTTTGTAGGGGCAAGCCGCAACCTCAGTTTGAGCAGGTTAGACTATTGAAAGATACTATTGGGGTGTAGTGTATTTGTTTTTGTCATTTTTCTCCCTGGTGTTTGTTTCTCAAATCCTAATGATTTTGAAATCCATTGAGTAGACAAAGCCTGCACTACCAGCTCTTGCACGTCTTATACATTCAAATGATGAAGAAGTCCTCACTGATGCATGCTGGGCGTTATCATATCTTTCTGATGGTACAAATGACAAAATTCAAGCTGTTATTGAGGCTGTTGTCTGCCCCCGTCTTGTTGAGCTTTTGCTGTAAGCACTGGTTTTCATTTTGATCTATGATTGTGGAAATCTTTCTTCGTTGTTTTTTATTGACATATGTTTTTTTTTTCCTTTCTAGTCATCCATCGCCATCAGTGCTTATTCCTGCCCTGCGGACAGTTGGTAACATTGTTACTGGGGATGATATCCAAACTCAGGTATCTTGCACGCAACTTTTTAGTATGTTACGATAAAATATGCTTTCCATAATTTACTTTTCCAGTTTTTGAATTTTGGATGTGCCGGCAATGGGTTGCAAATTGATGATATTTCAGGTGCATTTTGTCATGTGTTTATGTGAGTTGAATTGCAGTGTCAGTTTCTCATTTTTCTACTTTTAATGATTGGAAATTCTTAGCATACTTACTGCAGCACTTACATTTTTCAACATAGACGCACATGAGTTGTCATTGAGAAGGCAATGGTGGGTTTATGCCCGCTGTTAACAGCAATGTTGATGTTGAAGAGGAGGGCATAGAGTATTTATGAAGATTTATGCATATCTTTATAGTGTATATACATACAACTAAGTAACATATATACAATTTATTTTACCAGCGCTTTCTTGGGATAGCTTGAAGGTATCATCACCAGGCTTCTTTTTTTTTTGGCCGGGGGGGGGGGGGGGGGGGACATTTTATCAGGGTCAGAGCTGTCAATAAAGTCTTGAATAGGCCATAAAATAGCCAATAAAAACAACAAGGCTAAAACAGCTAATGAAGACAACATAGGCTAAATTAGCTAATGAGACAAAATGTTATATTCAAACCATAATTATTTCACTTTTTCTCTCACATCCATCAAATCAACTACACACAAAAAAAAGGCACTTATCAACCCAAACACAACTTTTTTTTATCTAGGCTAAAATAGCCAAAAAACCAACTAAAATAGTTAAGTTCCCAAACGAGCCCGTCATTTCTAGCTATGGTGTTCTATGAACTCACCTTGAATACTTCAGTTTGGTTTTTTGTTGGTCAATTATCTAAAAGATGGAATCCTCTACAAGTTGCTGTAATGTTTTCCTAAGTTTAGTAATGTAATGGAAGATTTAGAATAGTTGAGCTACAGTTTCACAAACTAAAACATGATTAATTCTTGAGTTGTGATTTCATAACAAAATGTGCTGGATGAACAAGTGTATAGGTGTGTTCAAGATATTTTGGTTTTTGGACAGAATCATATAGCAATCCAGTTCAAGTCTTTGTGAATAAAAACTGAATATCCTGTCTCCATTTATTGTGTTGGCTTTTGTAATTTCCTTATTTTTTGTTCCTGCGACTTCATCTCACTTTACTTCTGTACTACTGTGGACATTTGGGATTGCTCATGGAATACCCATAGTAGACAACTTTCCCTATATTTTCCTGCCTTCCTTTGTTGGTGCTACCCTAGCCAAGTAGATTAATGCTAAAAACTTTTCCTAGTTTACTTATTGTAAGTTACTATTAAAACCTGACACCATCCCCTATCATGGAGAGAATTTGTAATGTGGTGATCTTAAGGTCACATACACCATGAAAGAAGTGTTAACACAATGTCAGATTAGATGCATGGACATGTGCTACAATATGAAGAAAAATAAAATAAAATAAGTAAAGAGAAATTTTAATCTCAGGAAAGCAAAAGAGTAATCTTTGTTTTTACTTTTTCAGAGTATTGTACTGTATCCACTTCTAAAGTTTAAACATTAACAAATACTTTATTCCTGTATAAATTATTCAACTTTTGTTTGTTTCTCAATTATTCCACTTCTGTGTTCTAATTTATTTGCAAGGAAAAGGAATCGTACACTTCCTTTGGTTGAATTTTAGTGGTTCATCTGTTCATGTGATATTGGTATTTGTAGTTGGTTTTCCATCTTCATAAAGCTCCACATGCTATAGTTTCCTCCTGGGATGGCTATCTGATGCTTTCTTCTCGTCCTCCTTTCAGGTTATTTTAGATCATCAAGCTCTTCCTTGTATGCTGAACCTTCTGACACACAAAAATTACAAGAAGAGCGTCAAGAAGGAAGCTTGCTGGACCATCTCAAACATCACAGCTGGAAATAGGGATCAGATACAGGTGGGATATCTGTGAAAAAAGACCCATGCTTTAAAATGTCCAATTAGATACCTTTACTTCAGTTGCCAGTATGTTGCATCTCTTGATAGTCAGTATCCTGAATCCCTTTGTTTTAATCAATATCTTGAATATCGCAGATAGAGTTAGGGTACATATACAGCTGTGTTCCTGTGGCAAGGAACCCCTTACTTAAAAAATGGCCGAGTTAGATTCTTAATCATTATGTTACCTATCTTGACAATGAGATTTGACATGGAAAATCTTATGAAAAAAGGTCTTCACCTTTAGTTTTGTTGAAATGGTCATGTCGCCATTGTCTGCGTATTCAAAAGGGGTAATACCTGACATTTAAAATCATTTAGGCTGTAATTGAGGCTGGTATTGTTGCACCACTTGCCCAACTGCTTCAAAATGCTGAGTTTGAGATAAAGAAGGAGGCTGCTTGGGCGATTTCAAATGCTACATCTGGTGGTACCCATGAGCAAATAAAGTACGATTTTTTAACAATTATTTTTTCTTTACCTTTCTGTTTTTTTTCTGTTTTTGTTTGTTTGTTTGTTTTTTTTGGTTGAAATTCTGAATTTAGAGATACGATTTTGTTTATTTGTTGGTAGGTTCTTGGTGGACCAGGGGTGTATAAAGCCACTGTGTGATCTCCTAGTTTGTCCTGACCCAAGAATAGTCACGGTTTGCTTGGAAGGGCTTGAGAATATCCTGAAGGTTGGGGAAGTTGAAAAGAATTTAGGTAATTCAAGCAATGTAAATTTATATGCCCAGTTCATTGATGAAGCTGAAGGATTAGAAAAGATAGAAAATCTGCAGAGTCATGACAACAATGAAATATATGAGAAGGCAGTGAAGATTCTTGAGACATATTGGTTGGAAGATGAGGATGAGCAGCTGCCACCAGCTGATGCTTCTCAATCCGGATTCCAGTTTGGTGGGAATGAACCTCCAGTTCCATCTGGTGGATTCAACTTCAGTTGAAGGTATGCATTTCTTTTACCTTGATCTCAGTTACATGACACAAGACAGGTGGCTGGTGCAAGTATGTATGTGATGTATTCATATTTTTTAAGTGCTATTTTTTTTAAGGATAAAAATGATGTTTACAAATTAAAATAGATTATTATTGTATGTACAAAATAGAAGTCTTATGCATAAATTATATAGTATACTTGATTATACATACTTGTTGGGTGCATGTCCAACTAGGCATATCAGACACATTTCCATTGATCAAAAAAAAATATCAGACACATTTCCCATATCCTTACCTTAGTGCCAAGCCTTTGACACGGGTATTTCTCAAATTTGAAGAATTCCATGTAACATTTACCTTGATTGTGTAGTCTTGTGATTCTTTTGTTCTTGATGGCTTGCACAACCATTTATTCGTTTATGGTCTTCACCTGAGGTGTGGTGAAGAGGTTGCCTACTGGGATAGACCTGTGATTTCTATAGCTTAACAACATTCCCAGGCTGGCCTTGGGGCTGGGGCACTTTTTTCTAATTTTTAATCCCCTCTAATCAAGAATTGTATGTAGTAGCATATGTAATGAAGGACATGATTAACATGTGAATCAACATGTTTAGTCAAATGCCAACTTGCTCCATCCCTATTTGGTTGAAATTGAGACTTCAATTGTTTGTTTGGGGTTGTTTTTGGCCATTCCATCCAAACTTGGTCCAATTTTCATTCTCGTCTTTGTTGGGCCTGATAGGATTTGTGGAACGTCTTTTAATTTGTTAATGGTAGTCTAGTGTCATATATCATTGTTAATGGTGCTTGTCACTGCATTGGCATTTTGCAGATATTCAGATGGTGTTGGAATGTAAGAAGTTCAGGTTTGGGCTGGTCGAACATTTGTTTGAGGTCTTGTGGGTTGAGAGTCGTTTCATTGTCTTATGGTACTCTCTGGTGCAGATTTAGGTATGGGGTTGTAGAGATGCTGGTCAAATATTGTTTGCGCCTTTACAGTGGTTGATTGAATAAGAAGACAGTTGCCTGATAACCATGAAGTGTAGATGTTGAGCACCGTTTGGGATCTCCTTCCCATGGGGGAACTGCATGAATGGAGTCCTTAATATTATTTTATTTTATTTTATTTTTTTATCCCTGCTGAGCTTGAATGCAAGCTGTTAAAAAAATGGTAAATTGAATGCCAGGGGTGGAGCATACCTCTATGGAATCATGGTTTATATATATATATATACATATATATTGTTTGGTTTGTAGTTAAAAAGAGTAAATAAAAAGAAAGGTATATATGACTAGAAAGGCTTGTCAGTGTGGAGGATGCAAGGGAAATACATGTTTGTTATTGATATTAGAAAATTTCATGGCTGGATGAAGTATATATTGGTATGTTGTTTTGCAAATCCCATTTGCTACCTTAACTTTGGTTGTGTGCCTTGTACTCTCTCTGACGCGCGTGCGTACACACGCACGCACACACTATTCTTTGGTGAGAGGTATAGGCTGGTAGCCGACCTGAGCGAGTGTTGTGAGAAAGGCTGTCCAGTCTTGACATTAACCTATAACACTTGTGTTTGATTAGGGATTTAAAAAGGCACTGGTTTCCTCCAGTCTGCTTTGAGATTGGAATGTGTTGTTGGATCTGTGGAGATTTATTACGAGTCTTCTTTTAATAATTTAAATCGTTTAATATGTAGAACTCGTCGAATATTATAAATTTATAAAAAAATTACGTTGATTGGATATCAATAGTTACGTGATCAAATTAATTTTTTATAAAAATAAAATAAACAGAAAAAAATAAACGATTGACAAAAATTGATTCGATGAAATAGTTATCAATATCTGATCAATGTAATTTTTTATAACTGAAGAAGTTTTGTATATTGAATGGTTTAGAATATCGAAACAGAACCTGTGGTGGGTCTTCACAAGTCTAATAGCAGCCCTTCAGTCGGATATAGAGGGAAGTTATGCCCATTTAGAAAATGATTTTGAAAGGAAAAGAGAAAACGGAGGTAAAATATAAATAAAATTATATTTATATTTTATATAATTTCACTTACTTTTTTTTTTTTTCTCTCTTATCAAATCTTTTAATTAAACCCAATTCAAAGATTATTATGGTGTCGTGAAAGTCCTCTCGTCGTTATTCTAGGGGAGCTTTAATTTATGCAACACATTGGACTCATTACATTCACTTTCTCATTCTGGGGTAATTTGAAAAGTTAATTAAAAGTAGATTTTTTTGATTTTTTTGTCTTTTTGTGTAAAAAAAATTGTGAAAAGTGATGTAAATCAAAATAAGTTAACTTTTTATTAACTTTTCAAATTGCCCCTATACTTACAAATAAAAATATTTAGCTTGTTTAGTTTTAGTTTTCAGAAAATAATTTTCAAAAAATTTTACAATTTTTTTTATTATTTTCTGTATTTTAATGTTTTCAATGGATTTTTTTTAATTTTTAGATACACCTAATATAAATAAACTTAAAAAGTATAATATTTGTGGAAAAAAAAATTAAAAAATTCACTAAATACCAAAAAATATAAAAAAAAAAAATTATGAAAATTCAGTACATTTTTTTTTATATTTTTGTGTATTTATTAATTTTTTTAAATATTTTTTTCACAAATATTTTACTATTTACATGCATCTAAGTAAGGTGCATCTAAAAAAGTAAAAAAAATGTTTAAAATTAAAAAAATATTTACCAAAAATAAAAAAAATACAAAAAATAAAAAATTAAATCCATAAAATTAAAACTTAACACACTGATTGTTTTTGTTTTTATTTTACCCTAACTCTCATCTCCATTCTTAACTTTGCATTTTCTTCCTTTTTTTTTCTCCCTCTCTCATCTATGGATTTAGAACATCTCCAGTGCATCCTCTATATTCGAAGATATAGAGGATTTGTTGCTTCAACCCATCCTCCAAATCCATCTCTATTTGGGAGGAGGATGAGTTGATCCTCTAAATATGAAGGGAGGATGAAAAATGGAGGATGTCCTCTAAAACACTATTCATTCTATATTTTTTATTATTTTACAAATAACTTTTAATATGTAAATTTAATTTTTTTAAAATTGACATTATTAAAAAATGTGAAATCATACCTTTAACCTGAGTATAATATTAAATATATTTTACAAAAAATTTAAAATTAAATATTTGTTAATGAACAAAAATTACTTTTTGATGAAGGGAGGATGAAGAGTTTTGAAGGTTTGTGGTTGGAGTTTGAATGAATAGTAACATACTCTATATTTACTTTTTGAATAAAAAAAATTATTTTCATCCTCTTGGTGAGAGGATTGGGTTGGAGATGCTCTTAAGGTGGTGTGTAGCAGCGGTAGTAATTAAAGTGGGCAAGGCAAGAGAAGGGCACGGTGGGTCATTGAGGGTAGGGATGGCAACAGGTTGGGATAGGGCTAGGGATCACACCCCTCATCCTTGATTCCAAATGGTAAAATTTTCCCCGTCTCCGACCCCGATCCCTTATGGAAAACTTATTGTAAAATTTGATGTATAGAGAAATAGAGAGAATGAATTATGTATTATTGATTGATATAATGTTCTATTTATTACAATGATTCATGATTCCTATATATAGAAGAGGGTGAGTGTGTAGTAGGTAAGGAGTAGGTGAAGTGGAGGTGGTAGTGGTGTAGTGGGTTAGGTTTAGTGGAATAGGTTTAAGTGGGTGAAGTAGGTGATAGGTTTTAACAGCCCCCCGCAAACTCAAGGGGGATAGGAACTAGCCAACTTGAGTTTGGAGAGAGTAACAAAACAAGAAAATAGACGAATACATAAAAGAAAAGAGGATAGGAGACACTGTATGGTCGTGTCAGACCATTGGTGAAGACACTGGACCGTTGTAGCAGGACAGTTTATGGGGTCATGTCGGATCGTTGTAGCAGGACAGTTTACGGGGGCATGTCGGACCGTTGTAGAAGACAGTTTACGGGGTCATGTCGGACCGTTGTAACAGACACTGTTGTGACAGTTGTTGTGACAGTTTACGGAGTCTTGCTGGACCCTTGTAGAAACTAACCGGAATCAATGTCGGTACTGCACTGGAAAGTATATCCGATATATCAAATCTGGAGAATTTACAAAACCTGAACCTTGCAAACTGTGAGAAACTAACGGGTATTCCAGGTCTTGAATGCTTGAAGTCCTTGAGATGGCTGTACATGAGTGGTTGCAGTTCTTGCTCTTCAGTGGTAAAGTCAAAACTTGATAAGGTACTCTCTCTCTCTCTCTCTCTCTCTCTCTCTAGTTTAGGACTATTAATCCCATAGATAATTAATCCAACAAATTTGTAGGATTATTAGTAATGGGGTAGGGGTGGGATAGTTAATACCACACTAATTTAATAGGATTATTAATACCTC